TTTTAATAAAACGCAAAGCATGTTTGTTGTTGTTAATTTCAATACGATCACAAAATCTAATAATAATAATAATAATACGCGAGGCTTTGTGTCTTTCTTTCATTTTGTTTTAAACAAACCCACGCGTTTCTTATTAATATTATTATTATTATCATCATCATCATTATCATTATCATTATTATTATTACTACCTTGAATATAATTTAACCATTTTTAATTCTTTCTTAATCAGATATTAAAAATCTAAATTATATTTTTTTTTTCCTTTTTTTTGTTTTTTCAAGTTAGGAAAATTTAATTTAAATAAATATATATATATATACAAGAGAGAGAGAGGAAGAGAGAGAGAGAGAGCAAAAAAGGAAAAACTTGAAAATTTTTATGAAAATGGAAATCAACAGGTAAAATTTTTTAAAATAAAATATGGCGGAATGAAAACGAATGAATATAAATCAATTGTAAAATTGTATTTGTGAAGAATTGGGTACTTATTAATTATCGTAATTATTATTATTATTATTATTATTATTATTATTTTACAATAAGAGTAAAATTTGGATTTGATTACAACAAATTTATGACGTCAAATTATATAAAAAAATTTATTTGTAAGAACATTGATAAATATTATTGAATGAATTTATTTACGCAAATACAAACGACACGTTTTTTTTCCCCCTTTTTTTTATTTATAAATTTAATTAAAATAAATATCGAGAGAGGGGGAGGGAGGGGGGGAGTTACGATATAATTGACATCGTGATTGTAATCCGAATAAATTTAAAAAAAAAAGAAAAAAAAAGAAAAGGGAAAAACCTGACGGCGGCGTGAGAATCGATATAATTTGCTGTTGTGCCATGTGAAAAATTATCATGACGTCACAAAATTTACTGAATGACGCGAAAGGTTACTTGGAAACGACCTAATCAGGGAAAAGAAAAATATATATAAAAAGAAAATTTTTTTTATTTTAAAACAACTATTTTTAATAAGATATATGGGAAAAAGCAGAAGAAAAAGAAAACTAATACGAAGTTAAAACCGGAAATACAATTTTATTTAAAAAAATGGCGGAAGGGAGGGAGAAAGGGATAAATTTAGGTAAAAATTTGTAACGAAATTAACGTGAAAAACAAAAAAAAAAAAAAAAAAACTCACGGATGGGAACATATTTAATTATGGGTGGTCAGTCAATTATGAATTGTGTGAGTCAAATGTCAAAGGTCACGAATGAGCTTGTGTCCAATAAAAATTCATTCAAGTTTACTCCGAGTTATAAACAGTTTTTTTTTTTTTTTTTTATAATTGAAAACACGGCGTATGAATGAAGCAAATTGACACGCACGCACGCACGTGCACACACACATTATAGATCTCTTCACACAATTTCATTCAAAATTTAATAATAATAATAATAATAATAATAATGATAATAGTCAACGTAACAAACATTGCCTTAGCAAAAAAAATTTTATTTTCAATATGGAGGAAAACGCGCGCGCGCAAAAAAAAACCATCGACCAATTACTAAAAAAAAATTTTCTTTTTTTTTTTTTTTTTTTGTTAATAACGAACCTGAAAAGGCGGCAAATTTTTTTTAAAAAAAAAAAAAAAAGGAACCTCCTACGTTCGACAAAAAAAAAAAAATATTATTAATGACTCGGTCAGGTACGAGATGGATTGTTGTAATCATTTACATACAAGAAAAATGTTTAACTATTTTTTTTTTTTAAAGTTTACAAAAAAAATTAATAATAATAATAATAATAATTTGATTATTTTCAATGAAATACGAGAGAGAGCAGCCTTTTGTAAAAGGATAAATACAAAATGGAGGGAGGGAGAAGGAAAAGGGACACAATATGTTGTACCTGTTGCTTTATCAAAAGGTCTTGCGCATATTAAAAAAACAATATTTTCTAACATTTTCCACAATTGATTTTCCTTTGACTTTTTTTTTTTTTGTAAGTGTCAAAGGTATCAAAGGTATCATTAAAAATTTTTTCCCCCTTTTTTTCAGGTAAATTAATTATTATTATTATTATTATCAATTAAATTTACGACGTTATTTTTTTTTGGAAGACGAATGTGTGTGTGTGTGTGAGAAAAAAAAAGATGAGAATCATTAAAATTTGCATGGAGTTAACTTGACCTTTCCCCTCTCTCCTGCTCTTCCCCCTCTTTCTTCCCCAATTCCCAATTCCAAATCCCTTAAAATTTACCCGGTAGAAAAAAAAGTAAAAAAAAAAAAAAGCGAAAAAGGTTTTTTTTTTTTTTTTGCTATCCCGTATGAATTCATCAAGTAATAATAGTGATAATAATGATAATGATAATAATAATAATAAAATGTAAAAAAGGTTAAAGGGGAAAAAAATAAAAAAAAAAATCAACCTTGAAAAAAAACCAGCAAGTTCAAGTTAGGACAAGTAAGGAAACATTGAGATTGAATTGGATCGATGAATGAGCCTCGCGAATGTCGCAATAAAGGTTCAAAAAGGTTATTTTTACCTTTTTTATTTTTCGTCTCCTCTTTTTTAATTCATTCCGTGCGCGGACGTATGGTAAAAATAATAATAATAATCGTATTATTATTATTTTTACCATAACAAAAAAAAAAATTTTAATTTCCCGATTTTTTATTAGTCAACAAAAAAAAATAAATAAATAATTTAATGTTTATAACCGTATTATTTAACTTAATAAAAACCAAAATCTTTATAATGATAATAATAATGATAATGATGATGATGATGATGATGATACAATGATGAATTCGAATAGAGAAAAAAATTTACGGGAAAAACAATAATAAAGGTTAAAAACATTTATTTTTTTTTTTTTGCACGGGGAGTAAATATAGAGTCTAAAAATACGTCATAAAACGTCTTTAAACATTGTCATGACAACAGAATATTTTTTTGACGTAAGCAACAGACGCAAGCATTTACGTCACGAAGGGGGGGAAAAAGAAAAAAAAAAAAATTGTGGGGGAATTTTTACCGTCACTCCCCATTTCCTTCTTCCTTTTTTCCTTTCCAAAAAAAAAAAAGGGAGAAAGTTTTAACATTCGAAAAATAAATATATATAAATATATAGGAAAATATTTTTGCCCCCCCCCCCCTAATTCCCCCCGCACTTTCGGGTCTTTAGCCTTTAACGTGACCGTCAATTCAACGGTTATTTGTTGTAAACATGAATTTAAAAGGATGATTTTTTTTGGAAATTTTTTTTCCCTATTGTTTTGTTTTGTTATTTACATCTCAAAATACCCTCCCCTTCTTCTTCCCCATCCCTCCCCCTACCTCCCCTTACGTACCTCGTCATTTATAAATAAAATTCAAAGAAATTTTCTTTTTGTAACGGTCGGTGGAAAAAAAAAAAGAAGCAGAATCCAATTAAATTGTCTCTCGTTTCCATTATTATTATTATTTTTTTTAAATTTTGTGGGCGTCATTTTGATTTTAAATAAATAAATAAAAATTATATCAAATGATTGTTAAATGATTTGTAAAAAAAAAAAATTGTTGTAAAACGAATAAGATTAAAATAATAATAATAATAATAATAATAATAATAATAATAAATAAAATATTTAATAAACAACAACAACAACAATATCACGTGTGCCTGGTTAAGATATAAAATAAAAAGGTAATAATAATGATGATGATGATGATAATTTACTTTGTCTTCCTGTATATATATAGAGAGAGAGAGAGAAAAATAATGAATGAAGTTGAAGCAACCTACAGATTTTTCTGGAATTTTTAAAAAGTCCAAGGCTTAAACGAGGCCAAAAATATTGCTTGCTTGTTTGTTTGCTTGCTTTTTGTCTCTCTCTCTCTCTCTCTCTCTCTTAACAAAAATAAAACGATTGGAGGAGAAGTGGGAGAAAAAAAGAGTGAGAGAGAGAAAAACCTGAATGGTTTTTAACTTGAGAGTTATGAATGAACAGGTAGGGCAAATTAATTTTTATCATAAGCTAACAATAAAAACCCGGAAAACAACTGTCAGAAAAATCTTTTGCATCGTACGAATTTTCTGCTTTTTTTTTTTTTTTTTTTATTCTTAATTGATACCTTATGAGTAATGATAAACAGATACGTTTAGAGTCAAATTAAAATTTTTTTAATTATATATTAAAACAAGCCCTGGTCACATTTATTTATTGGGCGAAAAAAAAAAAAAAAAAAAAAAAAATGAATGCTTGCGTAGGTATTCGACAATACCTAATACCTAATATCTTTCATGTGCGTTTTTTTTTTTTTTTAACCATCACCTGGTACTTTGAAAATACTCAAACCCCGTGATTGAAGAGGACAATCGAGAAAAACCTCTTATTATTATTATTATTATTGATAAAATAAAATAAAAAAAATTAATCATCGTTAACCGGAAAAAAAAAAAAAAAAAATTTCTCACTTATGGCAAATAAAATACGGCGAAAAAAATAGTTTTAATTTACGTCACTAGGTGTCACTGCTTTGCGGTAAACAATAATTTTTTCTAAATTCAAATTTAAATTTCAATTTATATTATTATTATTATTATTATTATTATTATACTTGGTTTTAATTAAAAATCCGATTAAATTAAATATAATCTCACGTGATAACTCATAATCAATCATATTATAAATCTCAAATTAATTCATTCATTCAATTGGATTTCCCTTTCTTTTTTTGTAAGTCTTAAGAACATTTTACTTAAATGGAAAACTTGGTAAATTGATTGATTATTTCAAAAATAAATTTTTCTTTTACAGAGAAAAAAGACAACCTGAGAAAATGCACAGAATACTTGTTCAGATACGAATTAAAAAAATACACGCACGCACGCACATACACACACATACACTCTCGGGGGCGCGGATAAAAAAAAATAAAAACAATTTAAAAAAAAAATTAAATATAATAACAATAATAAAAAAAGAAGAAAAAGAAAAGAAAAGAAAAGAAAAAATAAGTAAAAATAAATAAGTATTATATTTTAGTAAAAGTTTAAGAATCAGAATCGGGTTCTTCGTTTTCAACGAGAAAAGGCAAAGAAGGTTCCGATTCTGCTCTTTTTGTCAGACTCATATTTCCGGTTTGATTTATGCTTGTCGTTTCGTGGGATTCATCTAAATTTTTTTGTATGTCGGGCGTGCTCCTCGATAAATTTTCAATTTCGTTTTTTATTACCCCGTTTTCGTTATTTTCTTTGAGTAATTCTTCGTTTAAGCACACCCCAATTAAATCAACGGTACTATTGGCGAAAAGCGGTGCCGGACCCAAATTCGGATCCATTTCCTTTGAATTTTTTTTCCTCTTTGGAGAATCGGTAGAAAAAGTAAAGTCTGAGGTACTTACAGATCGTAGAGGTTTCCCCGGATGATTCGAACCGTCGATGGGATGAAAAACGGTCGTGAGAGCATCGCGAAAAACCATTCCCTCTTTTCTATGTCGTGCCGGAGGAGTATTAAAAGTCGGACTGCCAGCTCGACTTACGTTCTGCGATCCGGAAGCTTTCTCTGACCTGAAATTCACAAAACATTATTATTAGGAGACCAATAAGAAAAAAACAAATTTATTTTTAAAAAAAATGACTTACTTATGTTGAGATATTAAGTCGCATGCTTTACCCAAAATCACCAAACTGTTTAAAACTCTGAATGATGTCAGAGCTAAAAAGGCCATTATGAATAAAATGACACCTTGAATGCTATCGATCGTTACAGTTTGAACCAATACTCTAAACATGACTACTCCGAGGGGTAAAGGAATGAAACCCATTCTTCTGGCGACCCAATCAGAATGATCGGCAAAAGCCTGATAAATAAAAAAAAAAAAAAACATATTACATGACGCATCCATTAAACACAAATAATGTTACCACATCAATTAAAAAAAAAAAATAAACTCACAAATTTTTGTCTTGTTTTAGCAACGTCATAAGCCAAACTTATCGTATATTCTCTATATATGTCCGGTTGTAATTCATTAAATCTACTAATGAACGCATGTTTTATCCAATCAACAAAAATTTCCGACACCAAAACAAGGAGACAGTCCGGTAATAAAATCCAAAATTGTTCTGGAGAAAAACAGCAAAAAAAAAAAAATTAATCAATTTCAAATACAATATTTGGTAGAAGAGAAAAATTTATGAGCGAGGGTTTTCAATAGATTTTCTTGAATACCTTTCAAATTTTCAATACTTTTCTTCATATCAAGCTCAAACTATCAACTGTTTTTACCTTCTTTCCAAGAATACTCCTTGAGAGTTTGCAGTACGACAATGAACAACAAAACGAATAAGTGAAAACGCTCTCGGACATCCGAACAAGATGCTTGAAACAAATTGTTTTTGTCAAATTTTTTAAATACACTTCCTTTGAGTTCCACAAACTAAAATTTAGAAAAAAAAAAAAAAAAAGATTTTAAAAATAATCCTTAATAAAATAATTAATTTTCAAATAACTGAAATTAAATTACCTGATTAGACAACATGATTGTTAATAAAGCTTTATTATCCGAATTAATGGCTACATTTAATGTTGTCGCTTGAAACAATACCAATAATCCGTGCAAAACTAATATTGGTAAATTAAAGAAAATTAATTTTTTTTCAAATGACATTAATTCAATGATGATAACAAATTTAAAGTGACAGAGTCTTTAAATGTTGTTCTTTTTTTTAAAAAGGATACAGACATATAATATAGACAAAAGTAAATGTGGGATAAGTCCAAAATGTTCCCTTCCACCATTTGTCGGCTCAATAGCAGTCCAAAACAAGGCATCAATGGTATCTTGACCAAAAGCTGAAAATAATCTATCGCTGACTTCTAACATGTTAAAAAATATATACAATTTAATAACTGATTGACTCTTGATAAGATGGTACATCATTGAAGTATCTATATAAAGCATTAGAATGCTGCAAAGGATTAGTATGCAGGCTTTTAATAAATCACATATTTCTGCAGGTTTTAAAACACATTTAGGTTTTGTTTGCTTCCACCTGAAATTAAATAAAAAGTTATGAAACATTAAAAAATATTTTATGAAAGATAATTTCAAAAAAATAATGTATTCAGCTGTTTTAAAGGGTATTATAGCTCAATTGCAACTGGTAAAGAAATTTTTTTAACTAAAATGTTTTTCTTTTTTAAATTCAAACTTTGTTTAAGTTAGAATCGAAAATTGTATAGTTTAAACAAAAAAAATTAATTTTAATCAAATGATTTGAGAAAAAATAACAAATGATCAACGAAAAAATTAAGAAACTTCATATTCAATAAAATATCAAATGTACGATATTTAATAAAATTAATTTTTTTATAATTACCCAAAGCAGTTTAAAATTGGCCTTGATAAAATTCCAGAAAGCGACAACAGAATTCGCAATGGTAAAAATGTATATACAAATAAAAATGAGTCCGCACACTGCAAAACAAAATAAATTAAAATAATTTTCATGAAAAATAACAAATCGAATATTCAATTTAATTATCTCCATATTTAATAAAATATATAGTTAATTTTTACCTAATTATTTTGTCTAGGTAAAAAACAAAAAAAAAAAAAAAAAAACGTAAATTTAAATAGAAATAAAATTTTTAAAAGGAAAATAAAAATTATCATTGGTGAGATCAAATAAATAAAAATTAATCAAACCTGAAAAAATCCATAAGCCATAAACTTTTCAACTTCCCTGGGGATTTTCATAAAAGAATACACTTTTTCCCTCCGTTTTGTATACCTCTCTTCGTCATGTTCCAACAAAAAACCCCTCGTTACTTCGACTTTTAAAAATTGAAGTAACGAAGGTTTAGATACATCTGAAATAAATTAAAATAAACAATCAATAGAGAATTTTTGGATAAAAAATAAACGTATGAACTTTTTTTTTTTGTAACTTACCGTTTGTTTCAGTGTTATTTATATCTTCTAAACGATCGTAGTTATTTGAATTGGTTCTAAATCTAATTTTCTTCTTTGATAAATATTCATTACCTAAAGACATTATTTTTAATTATTAAAATCCATAAATTACTAAATTAACGTGAAAAAATGATTTTTTGTTTTTAGATTAACGTTGACTGTAGAAGAATACAGCTGATTTTCATCAACGTTATCATAAATTCGTGTAATTAAAAATTTCTAATACCACGACGGCCGTCATGGCCGAAGTTAAGAATAATAACAATAATAATTTATTTCAAATTATTATTATTGGAGGTGGGATAAGTGGGCTGGCAGCTGGGGATGCATTGGTTAAAAAGGGAATAACGAATTTTAAAATTTGGAAGCGAGGGATAAAATTGGAGGCAGAGTGGAAGCATATGAAATGGGTGAATACACTGTTTACTTTTAATACTTTAATTAATACTTTTAATACAATATTTATTATTGGATTTTCTGAATATTTTTCAAGTTATGTAATGTTTAAAATATAATTCCAAATATTTTACCTAGGATTGGACATTTAAATTTTTTCTTTTTCAAATAACTTTTACATTAAAATAAATTTACTTAAAATTGATTTCTTTTAAGTTTATGACGATTTAATTTTTTCTTAGGGAACTTAAAATTAGAAATGGGAGCAAATTATATTCATGGTATACTAGGGAATCCCATGTATGAATTAGCCTTAAATCATGGACTTATTGACATAACACATACACCAAAAGATCACCAAGTACTAGCTGTAATGGAAGATGGAAGTCAAATCCCTTTTCTTATGTTGCAAGAAGTGTATGAGGCTTACACTTGCTTTTTAAGAAGGTGTGAAGAATATTTTTTATCTCAATTTTTGCCACCAGAAGGAATATCTAATGTTGGAGATCATATTAAATTAGAAGTTGCTTTATATTTAGACAGAATTAATGATAATAAAGAAAAGCACATAAAACAGCTAATTTTTGATTCTCTTTTGAAAAGAGAAACTTGTATTACTGGTTGTAATGATATGAACGAAGTGAATTTAATAGAATTAGGTAGTTATATAGAACTCCAAGGAGGGAATATTGTCTTGCCTGGAGGGTACAGCAGTGTACTTCAAGCTGTTGCTTTAGATATACCTCCTGAAAATATAGTTTTAAATCATTGTGTTACCAAGATTAATTGGATTAGTGATAAATGCAAAAATGAATGTTGCCAGGGCACTGGTTATGATTCTGGTATTGATTTATTAGCCAATGGTGAAGTGAATAATGATTCAGATTCTGATGGTGCTCTGAATTCTAAAAAAAATTCTAGTTGCAAATCCAAAGAAGAAAAGCATAACATTGAGCAGATACCATTAAATAATTCTAATGATTCTAATGATGATAACGATTCTAAATTGCAAAACCTGGAAATTTTCGATATTGAAAAAGAACTTGATGTGGTTGAAGTAATTTGTGAAAATGGTGTAAAATTTTATGGAAGTCATGTTATATGTACAATCCCTTTGGGTGTCTTAAAAGAAAAATCGGACACTTTATTTTCTCCAAAACTGCCTCAAGATAAACTAGATTCAATCAAGAAATTATCATTTGGAACTGTTGATAAAATTTTTTTGGAATATTCTAGGCCATTTTTACATGACAATGTTACAGAAGTTATGTTACTTTGGGACAATGAAAATGTAGATGAAAATCTCGAAACTTGCTGGTTCAAAAAAATTCATGCTTTTTCAAAAGTGAGCGACACATTGTTACTTGGATGGATATCTGGAGAAGAAGCAAAGTTTATGGAAAAGTTACCAAATCAAGTTGTCGGAGAAAAATGTACAGAAATATTAAGAAAATTTCTCAACGATCCATATATCCCATTGCCCAAGACATGTACAACTTCTAAATGGCATAGTAATGAACACTTTAGAGGATCATATTCTTCCATTAGTGTAGAAGCATCACATTTAGATATTGAAGTTATTGCCAAGCCTTTATTTTCTCATTTACATAAGAAAAAAGTAAGATTTTAAAAAAATTTTTTATAGAATAGTGCTATACGGTATATCCATGAAATTATTTTGATTTAGTCATTTCATATTGTGTTTCTTTAAAACTGATAATTATGAATAATTACATTAACTAATGTGTAGGTGAAATGTCACAAAAAACTTGCTAAATACTAATATTTTTTAGTTAAATGCATTGAAGAAAAAAAAAACCGCCATAACTCATCTTTCATACTTTCTGGTTAATTTGATATTTTGCTTAAAATTTAAAAAAAAAAAAAAAAACAAAATTAACTTACCGAAATTTCGTGGCATTGTAAGAATATTAACTTTTAACATAAAACATTCCTTTTTTCTTCATTTTTCGCACTTATTTGTGATTTTTTTTCACAGCCGATTTTACTGTTTGCCGGAGAGCATACTCATCATAGTTTTTACTCAACCGTTCATGGCGCCTATTTAACCGGAAAGAGTGCAGTTGAAAATATTTTAAAAGCGGAAGTCGAAAATATCACAGAAGAAGATTCTTGTAGTACTAACAAAAACGATGATGAGAAAAACGATCTCTAATAGTTTCTTTTTTTTTTTTCTTTTTTTCTTTCTAGAATATTCAAAACGAATTTTATTTGTTTGAGTACACTGTTTTTATTTGAGCACATTGAAAAAGTGAAAAAAAATTAATTAGTCATAAGTTTTCTGCTTTAAAAAAAAAAAAAAAAAAAAAAAATATTTTTTTAGCCACACTGTACTTTTATACGTAAACGAAATGCTTTTTTTTAAATTTAAAAAAAATTTTATAAATATAAAAATAGGAGGATAAAGTTTTACACTAAAAAAATTGGTGTTTAAATGTAGTAAAATAGAATTTACAATCTGTTGCATAAAATTTAAATATAGAAAAAAGAGGCCAGAAAATAAACAAAAAAAAAAATTCGTTTGAGTTACAATTTCAATAATAATAATAATAATAGTGATAATGTAAAAAAAAAAAAAAAAAAAACGTTAAACCAAAGAAATGAAATTTTAAATGTTAAAAACATCAGACACACACAAGATTAAATAATTAATCTAATTTTTTTTTTTTTTTTAATATCAATTTTTAGTATTAATTAATTGATAAAGAATTATAAAATTATACATACTTATGATTTCGAATTATGTGTGATGTTTTTAACAATAATTTTTTATATATATTTTGTTATTATTTATTTATTTACTTAGCACAAAAGATTTGAAATTAAAAAAATTAATTATTTAAATTATTATTATTATGAATCGATTGATTTTGACTTTAAAAAAAAAACAGTATTTCTTCCCTTTTTTGTTTTTGTTTTTTTGATTTTAATATTTTAATTGTTGGGGGATAACCATGAATTTATTTAATTATACATACATATTTTTATTAGTAGTTATACATAAATAATTACCCTTATCACATAATTAAGTTAAATAACACTTATAATGAATCGAGTTGTGAGGCTTGTTTTTATTTATACATAAATATATATATATATTGTATTAAGTATGGAACAAAGTATTTTATTTTATTTTTTATGTAAAATGTATTCAATAAAAATTTTTTTTCTGTTTTTTTATTTGAATAAGTTTAATTATTATTTTCTTAATTTTTTAACCTTTTCAAAATTTTTTATTGTAAAATTGACATGTCATGAACAAAATCAACCGAAATGATTTTAAAAAAAAATTTTTTTAAATAAAAATAATTCCAATGGTATTATTTATCTCATTATTTAAATATTAACATTGATAAATAAAAAATTTGTATTAATTTTAACAGAAATAAACAAATCTACTTCCTAAATTGGCATAATTTTTTTTTTTTTTCTTTTTCGAAACACAAAAACATAAAATTTTATCCAAATATATATATATATATATGAAATTTATTTTTTTAAATAAAAGGCACCTTGACAAATGCTTCTTCCTCTTCTTCTTCTTTAAAATTTAAATAAAAACTCATAAAATTTAATTTTTAATTAACAACAATGATAAAATGTACATTTTTATTCTTTTTTTTTTTTTTTTTTTTTTAATAAACTTTAACAGAAAATACATAAAAAAAAATTTTCAATCGAACAATCAATCAATCGAAACAAAAAAATTAATTCAAGCATTATTAAATGAATTTAATTACATTTGCATTATTTTCTCAAATTACATAACAATTTATTATTATTATTATTATTAAATATAATTTATTTAATTAATTCCAAAAAAAAAAAAAACAAAAATTTATCAATCATTTTCTTTTTTCCAATAGCTTTTTAATTAATTAATTTTTTTTTGTTTTAACGAATAAATTTTTATCACATTATTATTGAACACATTTAAGTAAAACATGCAATTATAATAAAAATAATAATAATAATAATAATAATAATAGAATATTTTCATTTTATTTTTTTCCTTTCGATCAATTTAAACAAATAAAAAAATATATATATTTATAATATATAATATATACAAAACTAATTTTATTAATTTTTTTTATTTTTTTCGATTAAGTTTTTTTTTTTTTTTTGTAAGAAAAATATTATTATCATTATTATTAAAACATTTTACTCACATATTTTAATTATTTACATAATTACATACAATATATACAATTAATAATAATAAAATTTGTCATATTTCCCAGGAACTTCTGCACATCATACGAGACACCATTTTATAAAAAAAAAAAAAAATTACTTTTTTTTTATATATATAAATATTTTAAATTAAAAAAAATATATTTTCCTTTTTTCTTTGAAACTATCAATTACAACAGAAATAATAATAATAATAATAAATTTAAATTTAAAAATTTGTTCGGTTAAAATTTAACAAACATAACTTTTTTAATAACAAAACTTATTCAATGCGCTTATTAATTTTTATTATTAAAATAAAATTTAAAAATTTTTTTAATTATTTAACAAACAGTCTTTAAAAAATTTTAATTACATAAAATAAAACATTTTATTTATTTTAATTTTCAAATATATATATATTTATATTTAAATTATGTATCTTTTATTAATTTTACCTTGTTTACATTATTTCCTTTTTCTCTCATCCCTCCATATCATTATTAAATATAATTGAAAAAATTAATAAAAAAATTTAAATTTAAAAAAAAAAAAACGTTAAAAATTAATTATGTATATGGCTGCCGTTGAAATTTACAAAAATAAAAAAATATACATAAATATAATATTTTTAAATAAAATACATAAGTTAAAAAATAAATTTCTTTTTTTTTTTTTTTGATTTATCAAACATGGCATAAATTAATATTTGTTTTTTTTTTTTTAAATTTCAAAAAAAAAAAAAATATTGCGTAATTTTGTTTTCTTTTTCTTTTTTTAATTATAAATTATCATTTTAATAATAAACTGCTATCAATTAAGGTTTACATAAACTTTTTTCTTTTTACAAAAATAAAAAAATTATTATTATTATTATTATTCCTTTTCTTTTTCAAATATGTGCAATAAAAAAATATTTGGTCGAATTTTTTTTACTAATGGCGATACGTTTTATAAGAAAGCCAAATAACAAGTAAAAAAATAATAATAATATCGTTTTCTATACAATTTCAACAATAATAATTATTACTAAAAAAAATTACCACTTACCCCCGGGTAATTAATTATTTATCCTTAATTAAATTCGTCGAGACCGCCATCGGTAATCCCAGATCTGACTTTGTCCAACACTCGATTAACGTATTCCGTCGTGTAACCAGCGATTCTAACCTCTGAAATTTAAAAATAAAAATTGTTTACATTCGTGTCAAAAGACAAAATGATTTTTGTCTATGTGTTCTTGTTGGTTCCACTGCTGAAAATAAAATGTCGTGAGTGATAAAAACTTACTGGTAGCATTTTTAACAACTTTATCCGCATGCTTGTTAATTTCATCTCTTCCGTTGGATTCCGTGGTATTAACTTTGGCGACCAAAAGCTGTTTCATTTGCTGGATCCCCGTCAAAAGTTTTTTGTGTTCATGTTCCAAACCGTAAAGTTTTATTTTATTGGCTTCGTGTTGAGCTTTCTTTTTTAAACGGCAAGCCCTACCGGTAAATTATTATTATTATTATTATTATTATAGATATTAATATCATTTCACATATTAATAGTAGTATTAATATAATAATATTACGGTAATAAATTGAATTGAAATTTTTTTTTGCAGTTGAATGTACCTGGATGCAAGTTTATTTTTTTCCTTTCTCGTTTTTGGACGGACATTAAAAGGCAGCTCAGAAACGGGAGCCATATCGTTGATGACTTTTCCAAGTTTGTCCAGTTCCTTACCGATTAAATGAAGTTTTCTAGGGTTCGGAGTTAAATCGTTTCCATCTCCTTTCCTCGCTTTTCCACTATGTTTTATTCCTCGGACAGAACAACTTGGACTGAAAACCGGATCTGTGACTTCGTTCAGTACGTGGGGATCTTCCAGTTTTGTCTTTAAAACTAACCTTTGGCCTTTTGGACCCTTTGCTTGTACATTATATTGCCAGAAATATCTTTCTTTTTTAGAAAGCTGCTGTTTTGATAATTTTTCTTTTCCAACGCCTTCTCCATCGCTCGATTCTAATCAATGAAAAAAATTACAAATTTAATTTAAAATTATTTATGATTATTGACTCAATTTAATTATTAATAAAAATTTTTTTTTTTTTTACCGGCATCGCTAGATACGTTATCGTATTCGTAATGATCACTTTCATCTTCTGATTCTGAACCTTCATCTTGTGAAAAATCGCGAGATTCCGGGCTTAGCACACCCATAGATATAGAAGAAGTAGAACCGCCTTCGGCAAGAGACCCGGTAGACAATAAATGTTTTCTAGGTTCTCTCCTTTGCCAAATTTGCTCTAATCCTAGATGAGTCGGCGCAGAAGAAGAAAGTCGAGATATATTGTGCCTTGTTGAACGAGTGTTATAAATTTTAGGACTAGTCGGAGCACATACCGATGGGCTCGAAGGTCTCTTTGGCGATCTTCCCATGAGTGATTGTAGCCTATCGGGAGAGGAAAAGGATTCTTTGAGGAGAAGTTCGTGAAGCGTACTGTGTTTAATCTGCAAAGGACTTATGCTATTAGGAGGAGTGGATTCGGGTGGCGGTTGGAGTATGGAAGAACTAGAACTGTGTTGACTATGACTTGACGGAGACAACGCGGATGTTGCACCGTGGAGGTATAATTCGAGAGGACTAGAAGGAACGCTCGAAGATGAATTAAAACCGTCTTTTAAAAACCCCAAACCAGCCGGGGGAAAAGACGAGGGAGCAAATGGCGAATTAACTGATAAATGCGATTGTGACGTGATTTGCCCATCGGTAACGTTAACTGCGGGAGCATTTATATCCTGCTGTCCCATGGCAACAAAAGGTACGTTTGCGAAACAATTGGATTCTTCGGGAAGGAGAAGATCATCGAAACTGAGATCTCCCAGAAGAGTGTCATCGTTGGCATTCAATTCGGCCAAAGTCGGTCCCTGAATAAGATCAGCCTTATCAACTTGAAATATATCTTCCTCGTCCATTTTAATATAATTTTCATTTCTCGTCTCGGTTTTGTCCCACAAATTATTTTCATTTACAATCAAACCGGATGTTTTTTCACAATTCGAATCGTTTATTACGGACGAAGATAAAACATCCGAATTAATGTCAAAATTAAAATCTCGAAACTCGGATGAATCCGTCGTCATCCTTCTATGAGGAATGGGAACACTAGCTGAAGTACACATTTGGTCAATTCCAGGTTCCGGCTTTATAAGCAAACCAGAATCAATGTAAAATTCTCCCGAGTACAAGGGATCTCCCATAACTAAATTTACTTTCCTTTCCTTTCCTTTCCCTAAATTATTTCCTTTATTTTATTTAACGAAAAATTTTTCTTTTATGTAATTTTTTATTTTTGAAAATCATATTTTTAAGTCATAATCGAAAATGATATTTTCCTAATTAAATTCAAACAAAAAAAAAAAAAATATATATATAAATAATCAGGTCATTCTTGACTCTTTTTATTGTGATTTAATTCAGCCAAACATCTGAAAAAAACAAAAAAAAAAAAAAAAAAAAAGAAAAAAAACAATAGTCATAAATAATAAAAGTTTTTTATACTCATTTTAAAATTTCTCAAGTTTAAATAAATAATAATAAAATATTTTAAAAATAGTTAACTTATTAACTTTTTCTTTTTCTTTTCTTTTAAAAAAAAATTTTTTACAAATAAATAAATAAAAAAAAATGTGCAATTTAAATAAAATTCAATATGCGTTAAATTACAAGCGAAAAACTTTAATCTTTTGTGTATTTCATTTATTTATTTATTTATTTATTTTTTTCCCTGCTTTTTAATAAAATTATTATTTTTTATTTTTTTGGCTGTATCGTTATGTTAAATGTCTCAGAGGCAAGAAAACGTATAAAAAAAAATGAGTTAGGCGAGATACTGACCTTGAAATTTATTATTTAAAAATCAAATATGCGAATATAGTAAATATTAAAAACATAAACAAAAACAAAAAAGTTTAAGTTTGGAAAATTTTTTCATATTATTTTTAATTAAATAAAATTTTAAAATAAATTATTATTATTATTATTGTATGGAGGAGAAAATCCTTTAATATTCTTCTTACATTTTTCAATTAAAAAAAAAAAATTATTTAAAAAAACCTACGACATTGCATTGACATTGCGTTCATACATAAACTATATATAATAACATGCATATATATATATATGAATTTAATAATAATAATAATACTAATAATAATAATAGATCAGTAAAAATTAATTAAACGGTTAGTATTAGTTTATTAGGACCTTCGAACATATTAAAACTATCTGAGGTCGGCTACTATCGAGTAAAACAGGTAAAAAAAAAATTTTTTTTTTTTTTTCACAATTCAAATATCAAAACAATAAATAAATAAATTTTGTCTTATTTATTTTTAAATTAATTAAAAATAATTTAAATGAAAAGTAAAAAAAAAAAAAAAAAAAACAAACAAGAAACAACAACAGGTACCCTTTGACATTTGACAAATGTACATAATAATAATTTTTATTTAAATTTAAATAATATAATTGAAAATCTTTTCCCCCCCCCCTCCCCTTTTTAATTTTGTATTTTTTTTTTTTAATCATAAAAAAAAAAAATACAAAACCGGTATTTGATATGAGAATTTAATAATGTTGTACAATCAAAAACTTATAAAAATAATGTTTTAGAAAATAAAATAAAATAAAAAATTATTCAATGAATAAATTTTTTTTAAATAAACCACGAGTATTTAATCGATTTTATTTAAATATATATATATATAAATAAATATTATAAATTTTTTTTTTTCAAAACAATACAAGTTAAAGTTTAATCACAATGTAAACAAAAATATATTTAAAATAAAAAAAATATTAGAAAAATAATAATTAATTCGTTGTGAAAACGTGTTTTGTCAATCAAAACAATTTTTTTTTTTTTTTTCACGTCCGTAATAAGATGAAAATATTCGAAAATGACAAAAAAAAAAAAAAAAAAAATTTATTATATTGAAAAAATAAAAAAAATAAAAACAAATTCAAGGCCTGGCATTGTACTTGAAAATAAACAACAAAAAATTTTTAAATAATAATTTTTTTAAAATAAGTTAATAATTGTTTCACCCTCTTCAATTTTATTATATATTTATACAAATTGTCAATTAAAATTTGTTTAAACAAATAAATAAATTCAATAAAAATTATAATTTGTATATAGAAAAAAAAAAATAAATGATTTGTAAAGATATTGATTTTGCATGTCCTTGAAATGAAAAGAAAATTATATTGTTTTTTCATATATACATATATTCTCTCACACGGTCTCGCACACATCAGTCACATTTCCGTACAAATTTATTATATTATTAAAAGTCAATGTATAATTAAATTAAATTCAAATAATTAATTTAGTTATTATTATTATTATTTCAATGTAAAGGCAATGAAACAGCTGTCCCGCGCGTGAAGAAACAAAACATGACCTCAACAACGTGTTTATTTATTTCCCCACTTGTCAATTAAATTTTTTTGAAACAGGTTAAAATAATTGGCTATAAATAGATATGAAGTAGGCGAAATGTTTTCTGCTTGTTTTGATTTGAAAGCTTGCTTGTATTATAGACACATGATTTAAAATCATTCATAATATTTTTAACGAAAAAAAAAAAAAAAAAAAAAACAACCCATGTAAATTTTATATGAATAAATAAATATTTTTTTCCTTTATTAAAAATTGCAATCATAATTTAATTTGTAGTAGAAAAAAAAAAAAAAAAAATAACAGATATTGATGACCTCACCTCGATCGAAGCAGAAAGGCCTCCTTATCGAGTTCCCGCCATAAGAACAACTGACAACTCTTAAATTAAATAAAAATTTCAATTTCGATAAAAATTCTACTGATTTAAACATGTATTTATAACAACACTAATTTATAAACAATAATTTTTTGAAAAAAAAAAAAAAAAAAACCACAAGTATGATTTGTTGTGTTTTGTATATTTCACAAGATGAATACACACAAAAGTATGCAACATTGCCAAGTTTACTTATCTGGTCATTTGCCTAGGTCACGATTAAAAAGTGGCTTTAGTCGAATCGTATGATTTTATCATTAAAAACATAAATTTAAATTTATTTATAATAATTCTTGATGCATTTAAAATATTTTGCTTCGAGATTATTTTAAAAAATGAAAAAAACATTGACATTTAGTTATAAACATTTTTCTTATTATTTTTTTTGAAACCTTGTAGTTTTAGCAGTTTGAAACAAATCAATTACCGCGTACAAGTTTTATTTAGACGAATATTTTCACGACATTTTCAGTGTTGCGACAAACATGGCAGTTATTTTATATTACTTTAATTATTATTAAAAAATTTTACTGTGATACTTATCTTACCAATTTTGAAAACTGTAAAATGCAGGCCATTTTTAAGTCTCCTTCAAATATAGTAATTAGATCTAAAGTCATTCAGAGTAAGTTATCTGTAAAAAATAATAAAAATTTAGTGAAAAGACGTAATTTTCAACAGTCACATTTAGCCCAATAATAATAATAATAATACGTTAAGAGTAAATTTATCAATGCTGCATAAAAGAAGTTTGTTTTTTTTTTTTTTTTTTTTTTTTATGTTTTTACTACAGCTTCTTAAAAATGAAAAAAAAAAAAAAAAAAACCTTTTTTTCATTAGATAATATTTTCAAAGATTAAAATAAAATTTAAATTACATTGAGAATTGTAAATGTTATAACTAGTATTTTACCTAAATAATATTTAATTATCCTACTTTTACTTCTATTGAGAAAAAATGTTTTTTTTTTCTTTCCTACATTCAAATATAAATTATGGTTAAATAAAACCTTAAATGTTACTTTTCAGGAGATGGTTGTTGCTGTCAAGGGTGGAAAAAGCATAAACTATTTTTGTCGGGTACTTGGTTGCAAGAAAGATTAATTTTTCATTCAGCAAGATGTGTAATTGGAGGAGGTCCTACATTGAAAAATATTTTTACTTATCATTCACATAATTATATATCTCCATCATATATATTAATACATTCAGGGTTAAAAAAAGAAAGTTTAATTTTAATTAGAAATTTCTCAGTAGGCAAAATTTTACTTGAAAAGGAACCTTTAAAACCTTCTTCAAAAGTTGAAACTACAGTTAAAGCTATTAAAGAGAAAGCTTCTGCTCCTGAACCAGTTAAAATAAAAAAACCATTAAAAGAAAGAATTTGGGATGAAATTTTGCATTATTATCACGGATTTAGATTATTATTTATCGATATTAATATTTCTAGAAAATTGTTATGGAGAGTTCTTAATGGAAAAACTTTAAGTCGAAGGGAACATAGATTACTTGTTAGAACTGTTGGTGATCTATTTCGTTTATTACCATTTTCTGTATTTATAATTGTACCTTTTATGGAGTTGTTACTTCCTGTAGCTATTAAACTCTTTCCTAATATGCTACCATCCACCTTTCAAACTGCTACCGAAAGAGATGATAAATTAAAGCAGTCACTTAAAGTCAGGTTGGAAATGGCAAAATTTTTGCAAACCACTCTTGATGATATGTCTGTACAATCGAAAGACAAAAACAATGAAGCAGCTAAAGAATTCACTGAATTTTTCAAAAAAATTAGAACATCTGGAGAAGCTCCTTCAAATGAAGCTATAATTAAATTTTCTACTTTATTCGAAGATGAAATTATTTTAGACTCATTATCAAGGCAACAATTAACAGCTTTGTGTAGAGTTTTAGATATTAATCCTATGGGGACTACTAATCTATTAAGGTTTCAGATTCGAATGAGACTTAGGAACTTGGCAGCAGATGATAAGGTAAAACCTTGAGCTAATTAATACCTAATCAAAGTGTATATATGAATAATTTAATTTATAATGATTGATTTAAGTGAAACAATATTTAAAAGAAATAATTTTTTTTTTTTTTGCACAAGTTTTTTGTTTATTATTATATTTTACGAAAAATTGTTTGTGTATAGATTTATAATTGGATTTTTAATAATTTTATAGATGATTGTAAAAGAAGGTATTGAGTCTTTGACTGTGCAAGAATTACAAACTGCTTGTCAAGCAAGAGCTATGAGAGCATATGGGGTATCAGCAGACAAATTAAAAACACAATTAAATCAATGGTTAGATTTAAGCGTAAATGAAAAAGTTCCACCTTCTTTATTACTACTTTCCAGGGCTCTTATGCTACCTGACACAATTGCAGCTACCGATCAACTAAAAGCTACTATTTCAGCTCTACCAGATTCAGCTGTACGTTATTTATTATTATTATTATTATTTATAATGTAGAAAATGTAGCAAGTATAAAATATTTTACACTTTTTCTGTTTAAAAATAAGATATTTGAAGTAATTTCTTGAAAGAAGTAATTTCGAATGAATCTTTTTCTATTTTCTATTAATATTTTAAAACATTGTTTATTTAAGGAATTAAAAGCAAAAGTAGCCATCAGCGAAAGGGAAGGTGCATTGGATAATAAAACAAAGATAGAATTGATCAGGGCCGAAGAAAAAATAATTCAAGAAGAAAGAGCCGAAGAGTCGGAAAGTAAGAAAGCAAGTAAAGAAGTTTCAAAGGAACAATTAATCGACACAGCTCCCATTTTAAAAACCGATGTCGGCTTGAGAGATTTCGATAAATCGGCAGAAAAAAAAAAGGAAGCCTCTGAAGAAATTACCACGCAAGACATTGAAACGCTTGAAAATGCATTAGATGCATTGGGAAAAGAAAAGAAAAAGTTGATTGTGGAAAAAGAAGAATTGAACGAACTTAAAGAAGAAATGCACGATTACGAAGAGGTAAATAAATTTTTAAAAATATCTATCGAACCTACCTTTTACGATTAACAAGAATTTCCCAACACTTTCACTTTTCACTTATAGGATGTTAAAGAACTAACTGAAGTTTTGGCGACGAAAGAAAAGAAACCGGAAATCAGAGAAACAAAAGCCGCCAAAAACTTGTATAAAAAAGTCAACAGTATGATATCGAAATTGGACGTGGTTTTAGATGATTTAGAAAATAAAGGTGAAAAACTTAAAGCCTCGGGCGTTCAAGAAGAAAAGGAAAAATCGGAAGAACTCGTAAAAATAGACGAACTTATGGGTATAATAAAAAGGCTGCAAAAAGTTCCTGACGAATCGAAAATTCATCAGATTAGTAAAGTTTTAGAAAAAATAGATGACGACAGAGATGGAGCCATAAGCGTTGACGAAGTTCTTAAGGTATATATATATTTAATCATAATAAAAAAAAATACCCTTATTACGTCATGAAATGAGTAGGTAGATTTTTTGTGTACTATCATAAAAGAATTATAAAAAAAAATTTTTAGGTTATTGAGTTAATAGGAAAAGAACACGTTCAGCTTACAACAAAGCAACTCGACGAAATTTTAGATCTTATGGATAAGGAAGAAGCGTTGGAATTAGAGGATCAAATAGAAAAAGCATTGGAAAAACAATCGTTGGCGGAAAAAATCACGCCGCCATTTCCGAAAAAAGGTATATTTAAAATCAAGAGAAATTTGAAAATAAGCTCCATTTTGTTATTCTCCGTTTGACTCCTCTTTATTTAAAAAAAAAAAAAAAAAAAAACTATTCACCTTTCGATAATTTTTTAGAAACGGGATCGGAAATTACGAGCGAAAAAAAACCAGAATCAATTGAAAAATCATCACCTAAACATGCTTCTGCTTCGGCATCATCAGCAGCCATGTCCGTGTCTCCAAACGGATCTCCGACAATAACCGAGCCAAAAGATATAAATAACGATACAAAAAAGAATTTATAATTCAATGGAGAATAAATAAATTAAATTTATTGTTTTTTTCTCCTCCCCCCCCTTGTAAAGATATTTCGTCGGTCGTCTTTAGTTTTCAATTAAAAATAAGAAATATTCGAAGAAAAGGTAGAGAAGTTTTCTTTTTTTCTCTTTTTGTTAATCTATAATGACGCATTAAATATCTAGTCATTTTGTGGAATATCCGGTCGTCATGTCATGTCATGTCTTCATCAAATTTGGTTTTAGATTTAGGAAAATTATGTTAAATTTTTAAACGTAACACACACATACTACTTAATATTTAGTTTAATCGTATAAAAAAAAAAAAAAAAAAATGTTGATTTTATTTTTCCAGGTAATTAAAACATAAACAACTTTGGTGTATGTTATGTGCTTCAATCGGTATAGTTAATTTAAATTTCCTTTTTCAAAAAAAAGGACTGAATAAAAATTTATTTTTCAAACCTTTTAACCCTTTAAACCTATACAAGATACCAATTAAAGTCAATGGTATTTTTTTTTAATAATTATAAGAAAAAAAAAGTATTAAAAGCTTTTTCCGTGAAGAACAATGATTGATTGATTGATTGATTGTTTAAAGAATTTTCCTGTTTTTTTTTTTTTTTTAATTGTCTGATTAAGAAAGGCTAAACAGACATAATTAACATTGACATTTCTTGTAAAAGAATATTACATTGAGACAAAGTAATAAATGTATTTAATACAAAAAAAAAAAAATTTTTTTTTTGCTTAAATTATAAGTTAATTTACTTTTAATTTTTAATATTTATAACTTTTTTTTTTGTATAATAGTTGCATACATTTATTATTATTATTATTATTATTTTTTTTTGTATAAAAAGCTTTAAATTAGAATTAAACAAACAAAATAGAAAAAATAGAAATAATAATGTCGTTTGTTTTTTTAAATAAAATGTAATTTTTTTTTTTTTTACTTGTCAAAAAAATAATAATTATTATTATTATTGATATAATTAACGCGATTTTTATTTAAATTAATAATAATAATAATTTATTTATTTATATGTAAAACATAAGAGAGAGAGAGAGAGAGAGGAGCAAAATTAACTACGGTTTCTGGCTTTATTAACAATTTATTTAAAGCAAAGACAATAATAATAATAATAATAATAATAATGTTATTTTTAATTATAATAATAATAATACATTTTAAAACTAAATTTACTACTGATAAAAATTTTTTTTTTTTTTAAATTATTTATGTGCAGATAAAAAGTATTAAATAAATGATGTTTAAAAATTTTCCGTTAAAAACAAAAAAAAAAAAAACGGTTTTTCATATTTTGATTTATTATTAACTTTCCCTCATTGAAATTTATAAGTACGAAAATTAACGTAAAGAGAGAAAAAAGAAAAAAATTTATATTAATTATTTATAAAAACTTTTTCTTTTTTTTTTTTTTAATTATCAGTTAAGATATTGTTTACAACAGTCTTATCGAATAATAATAATAATAATAATAATAATCATGTCCCCTTAATTGCCTGTTAAAACTAACAACAATTGACCATTTTATATATTTATTTATATATTATTATTACTAAATAACCAAAAAATTTTAACATTTTTTTTTTTATTTGGGAGAGACTAGAATACATTTTTACAAGATTCTTTATAAAACATAAAAACCAAATACAATTCATGACCATTACACACACAAAAAAAACATAAATAATAATAATAATAATAAAAATTGATAACATTGAAATTTTTCCCTTTTTAAAACATGATAAAAACATTTTAAGTATTTATTTTTTTTTTTGTACATAATAAAAATTTGTATTGTGTGAATGACTTATTTATTTATTTAACTTAAATTTAAATTTTGTTTTGAAAAAAAAAAAGAAAAGAAAATTAATAATATTAAAGGCTGAAAAACAAATTTTTGAGGTTTTGATTCGTATTCCAGCCCAAAAAATATTATTATTATTATTAATAATTTTATATTTCGAATGAAATTTAACAATAAAAAAAAAAAAAAAAATTTGAAAACGATACAGAACTATGATATATTAATTATTGCTATGTATAAATTATGTATGTGAATATTAATAAATTATTAATAAATGAATATAAAAAATATAATTAATTAATTAAGTAATAACAATGTAATATAATTTTAATATTGGAAGATATATTTAGATATTATCAAGCGTTTTCTTGTTTTTTTTTTTTTTTTTTTTTTTTAACCATTTATTATTATTATTATTATTGTGGCACAATTATATAATTTTTTGTGTAACAAATGAAATATTTTAAATTTAAATGAGATTCTTTTTGTAATTAATGATAAGTGCAAAATATTCATTTTTATTATAAGCCTCGAAACTAATAAAAATAATAAATTATTATTATTATTTCATTTTTTTTTTTCACCTAATTTAATATTTATGCACTTTCAATTATTATTATTTAATAATTTATTATTGAGCACTCATTTATTATTAATATATAAATATTAAATTTATATTTAAACTTTGTTTTTATTATTGATTCGAACCCCTTTCCACCTTCTGTTTTATTCATCCAAGTTTTTTAAAATTCAACCGAATAAAATTTTATTAAAAGTAATTAAAAGTAAAACTTTAAAATATTTCAAATTTTTTGATTGACCAAAAATTATTTTAATTAATGATAACTCATTTTGACAGTGTGAACCAAAAAATTAAAAATAAAAACTAAATAAAATTAACAAAATACTATTAAATAAATAAAAGGTTAAATAAATGTAAAATAACATTTAAAAACCGAATACTACAGAATTAGAAAGAAAAATAAAAAGCTACATTATTTTTTTAAAGTACTATAAAATTAAAATTTTTTTTTTTTTTAATAAGAAGCAAAATAAAAATTAAATAGTAGAGCCATTTTCCTCAAAGTTTAAGTAAATTTGAATTATTAACTTAAATTTTGATGTTAAAATTAAATAAATCAGTTTTACTATAAAAGCCAAAAGAGTGTGATTATCGATTTGAAAAAAAAAACAATTTAATAATAATGATAACTTTGTTAATTTAGTAAATATATACTGAATATATCAAACTTAAGTCTAGATTATTAAAATCTTCATGTTTTAGAATTAATAAAAGCTTGTGTTTGTTTTTTTTGCGATAAAAAAATATAAAGCTTAATACTATATTTTGTGGCCATTAATTTTTATCAACAAGCAAAATAACTACAACTTACTTAAATTGTGAATCAGGAATGAAAACCTAGATCTAATGGCACAAAATAATTTTCCCCATTTGTATATTGTAGTTATTTTCGAGTTTATCCTAAATACCATTAAGCCGCATTCACTCCAAGGTTTGAATTAGGAGTTGTTTTATTGGCATCCTTAAACCACTGAGTTTCTTTATATAAAAACCAAAGATCGAATGCCCATAGAAAAAAATTAAGAAACCCTAAAGTAATTGATATGTTAAGTCCTGAAAAACTTCCAATGCCAGCTCCACAATTAAGTTCTTGGCAAATCTTCCATGACAATATGTTTTCAGGATTTGTAACTGCTTTCAGACCCACCAAACCGTTGGCCCAAGCTGCACTTCCAGAAAGCCAAAAAACGGCAAGAAGAAGTGTTGCTAGAAAATCAGTCATTGGAACTGTTGCGTTGGATTGATATACTTCGTCAAATAAAACGTACACAACTGAAATTCCCACGCAATATAACATGGACATAACTCCGGTAGCAACGAAAAATTGTGCATCTGAAGAAAAATCTCCTACAAGCGAAAATGTTAATGGATCAGAGTTGTTCGAACAAGAATGTAATGATTTTTGAATTCTGTCTAGCTGATACGGATAACTAAATTCTAAACTAGAATGATTCTCTTTACAATAAGTTAAGTGAACTTCGTTCGTATAGTCCACGGTTTTAGCAAAAGCCCAAATGGCAAAAACAAATTGAATAATTCTCATAACTCCTCGAGGTTCCTGGAAGACGTCGATATTCAACCCCATTTTTCATGAAAATAATTTCGAATCTTAATTAAAATATTAAAAATTTTCAACTATACAAATCTTTTTTTATTTTAAACTAAACTATTTCTTTTCACAATTACTAGAAAAACCTAAGCTAAACAGCTAAATTTCACAATCCGTTGAATAACAGCGCTCCTTACGGATTAATTAATTATTTTAATTTCAAATGAAAAATTTAATTAACCGAATGAATAAATTTTTTAATTTTTTATTTTTAAATCCTTACATATATAGTTTAAAATTAACTTTTTTAACTTTTTAATTTAAATAAAAAATAATAATAATAATAATAATAATCGTAATAGTAATAATAATATTAAATGAAAAGCAAACTTTTTTTTGTTGTTGTTGAAAGATCGTTGTGAATTTAACACATCAATACCTGGGAACACTTCGGCGCCCTTTTACTAGTCTGCCATGTTCATTTACAAAAAGGAATTTGTTATCGTGAAATTTGTGTAGAGCATCGTCCCTTCTAATTTATTGTGTAAGTTTTATCATAGCATTATTAGTGTAATTATAATTACTTAGAAACGTCGTTAATAATTATTTTAAGATTATTTTTAAACCTGTAGAAAAAAAAAAAAGAAAAAAAAAGTTAACTTAATTAACAAAAGTTGATAAGCATGGAGATATTATTAGTAATTTATTTTTATTAATTCTTTACCCTGACCTTAAAATTAGCAATGAGTTCAATAATAATAATCATGACAATGCCAATTATATATGGTTTATTAATTTTTTAATTATTATTATTATTTTTAGGTTTTTTGAATGTCGAGAAATTAATTTTTTTTTTTTTAAATAAATTAACATTTAAGGCTACGTGTGCTAATTTTAAAATTTAATGCGTGCTTTTTTTTTTTTTTTTGAAAAAAAAAAAAAATGTTCACGTGACTATATAAAATTTTTATGCATTTTTTTAATAGAAAATTTCAATATATTTTACTTCAAAAAAAAAGAAAACAAAATAAAAAGTAAAATACCTTTAGTAATTGACATAGTTTTTTTTTTTTTGTATAATGTTTTAAAAATTAATGATTATTATATATCAAAGCAGACATTTTTACGTAATGTTACGTATTAGTTGCATGATTTTGCCTTTTTTTTTTTTTTTTTTTAAAGCCTGATCTTTAAGGAAAATTTATTTATGTTTATTTTGCCAAATTTTTCGAGGATTACTATTCAACTTAATTTTATTTATTTTGTATTTATAATAAATTGAATTATTCAAAAAAAATTGATCATATATATATAAAATTTTAAATGACCTAAATATCATTTTTTCTTCCGAAAAAAATTTCATTGTCATGGTCTGTTTTATATATATTTATATTTTTTCTCAGTATAAATAATAAAATCCTCCATTTTCTTTACATTAATTTTAAATGATAATAATAAATTAATTTAATTTTTTTTTGATATTACAGTTTGAGAATGGGACGGTGCCTACAAGACATGAAGTAGATGACAGTTATTTTATTTTATTTTTTTTTAAAACAATTATTTTATTAAAAGTAAAAAATAATTTTTAGTATTTTTTTTTTTTTTTTTTTAATAAAATCAAATGAAAACCTGAAACAAGGTTTTAAACAATACAAAACATACAATTAATATTTCAATTTAAAAAAAAAAAATTCAGTTATTAAAATAAATTTTACCAAGTCGTATTATGCTTGTATTGAACAAATTTTCTTTTTGAATGAATTTGTGTAAAAACGAAGAATTGTGGTTAATATTGCAAACACACAATCACATTTGAATATTATTGCCATGAAGAGTAGACACAAATTAGAAGCCTTTTTCAACTAATTGTTAAATATAAAATCGTCCAGTTTATTAGGATCAGTTGCAACTCTTACATTTTGATATGTCATTAAAAAATTAACAGGTATGTATCATATCGGAGAATATAAAAAAAAAAAAAAAACTATTCACAGACTTTTTAATTATGTAATTCAAATTTTTTTTTTGTTTATAAAATATTGATTGATATAAAATTTGATTTAATCCAGATTTGTAGGAGCATGAAGTATTCCCAATTAGTCCACATGTCGAGGGATGTTGAACAATGGCTCGAATCACAATTGAAAGCTTGCGAAATTAATAATGATTTTTATACTGATTATTTATTGAATTTATTCGAAGAAGAAATTTTGGACAACTATTCTCATAGTTTAAATTTAAACTGCAACAATGTGTGTAATAATTTGATAATTGTAAAAAATTTCAATTTTTATTTTACTTAGTTTAACTTTTCACATTTTAATTTCAGGACTACAATATAAATTACATGTTTTGGCCATTTCAAAAAAAATTAGAATCAATGAAAAGTAAAAAAACATCTCATGTTGCTCGATCAGAAAACTATAAATCAAATTTATTAAAAATGAGTTTAAACAACAGGTAATATTTGATTATTAATAATTTAATGTTTGTCTTTAAATTTTATTTAACAAAATTTGATTGTAAAATCTGTACGTTTTTAATGAATAATAATAAATTACTTAAATTTTTAGATTCTCTCGTGACATCATTGAAAATGCAAACCACATAGAATCGCATATACCCCTTGATTGGAATTGGGCTGAGGGTCTACTTCATGACTCATCGGGAACTGTTAAAAATAAAATGGACGATTTTTTTGCTAATTTATTTTATGACAATACGGCAGATATTTTTGGATTTGAATTATCTTGGAATAAATTGGAGGAACCTGAGAACATCGACAACACGAAACGCATTAATTTTTATAATAAGCAAAATCTTTTTTCAACGTCAACTTGTAATGAACGACTCTACGAAAGAAACGCAGATTTTGACAAGCTAATCGCAAAGTTTGACGCAAGCGTTGAAAAAATTTGGAAAAGTTCTTCGGAGTCGGATGCTTTGGGAAATGTTAAATACGCCACCATTTTTTCTGAAAACATAGCCGATCCACAATATCAATATGGCTCTGATGTAATTTGGTCATGTGAACAAAAAGATAAAAGCAATATTTTGATGAAAAGCACCGAAAATTACAAACCATCCTTTTCTCAATGGAATCAAAAATCAAATTCTCCAGTTTTATCAAATTCAAATAATAACTTAACCACGGCATTAAGCGCTTTTAGTCCAACACTTCCAAATTTAAAAAAGTGGTCAGCCAATGATGGATACAACAAAAATTGTAATTTCATTTCTGAAAAACAGGATAACGGTTTTACTGATGTAAATCATAATCAGAATAAAAATTCCGATGATTATAGTATTGAGTATAACCTATCAGAAAAAAATCAAAGTAGTCAAGAAGAAGATTTGCTGACATCCGCCAAGACTCATTTTCGTCCGATTCCATCTGAAGAATTAGGAAATAGTCAAACTGGAATTTACGCTGATGGTACAACTTTCGATATATCAAACGATTTGGATAAGGTTTCCTTTATAAGAAGCGAAAGTGGAATGCTCTATTTAGAAACGGAAGCAAACACTCCTAGAAAGTATATGGAGTTTAAGGACAATAAGAACTACGGGACTAATGAATATCTAGAAAATAATATAGTACCCGTTGACGAATTCGTACCAAAGTTTAGAGTTCGTCAGAGCAATGAAAAAAGTATTCAGACCGACGAAATACACGAAGAACAAGTCGTGCCATCAGTAAACGACACGGATTACGATTCAATGTCTTGCGATTCGGAAGAAAACGATTTTTTTTTCCCCGGGGATAACGAGCTCGCTCAAAATATTGCAAGCTCGGATGGAGAAGAGGCCAATTACTATAAAGAAACGGGGAATAAAAATTTGTTTAACGAAGAAAAGAATAATAAAGATTATAATTTAGAAATGTCTTTATATAAATTGATCGAAATGAAATCGTGCGTTTGCAATGAAGAAAAAGATTGGAATCAAAACTCGATTAATAATAATAATTCCATCAATAAAAAAGAATGGAATAAAATTTGGAATTTTCACATTTCGTGTAATAATTGTGAGAAAAGTTCGGACAAGCAGCTTTCAACAAATGACAAATTTCGATTTCGGCAAGAGTTGACCCAAGAGGGAGAACAACTTTTGCTTGATTTGAGTAGCGTTCAGCAAATGTATTCGAATGATGCTGATTGGTGCGAGGATGATACTCTTACGGTATCCGATATAAATGAAGACGATAATGAAAATTTCGGAGAAGAAATCCCAAATGATGAGGGTTTAACTTCGGAAATAGTTTACCCTGAAAAGGAAGCTTTGTGGAGTACTTTGATTGCCAAAGAAGAACCAGTTAAAAATGGTCTTGATGTGAGATGTTCGTGGAAAATGGAAAAGTTTGAAAATGATAAAAATAAATTTAATGACAAAAAATCGGAAAAGTTTTACATTTCCGGATGTAAAAATTTAGAACGGAAAAGGTAGGATAATATTTTTCCCCTTACCATGGAATATTGTGAAAAGTATTAATTATTATTATTATTTTTTATGTTTCTTAGGAGGAATTCGTCCAGTCAAAAAGTGAGTTATTTGCACCAAAAAGGAGAATGCCGTCAATATTATTCTAAATTATCCAATGGCGACTCCACGATTCCTTATTCTTTTTTTAAGGAGGGATCATGGATGAAGGAAAAAATATGTCCTTTATTTTATGGAACGTATCGACCTCTCTCGGTGTAATTATCATTTTTTTTATTTTTTATTTTATTTTTATTTTTTTTTTGAGGTCGATCTTAGATAAAATATTAGAAAAGCCTTTTTATTTAAATAATAAGTGCTTTGTATTATTTAAAAATGCCTCAAAAAAAAAAAAAAAAGTTTGTGTATTTAGGAGGCAGGAAAATGTGTTTGTGTTGTTTTTGTTTAGTGAACATAAAGGGATCATTATTGGTAACTTAGGTAAGAAAAAGAAAATGTTGAAAAGTTGATTAGTAGTTAATTTTGTTAATTGTAATTGGCACAATGACCTTAAATACATATATATATATATATATATATATATTATTATATACAAATATATATATATATATTATTATAAGGTTTCATATTAGGAAAATAAAGGTTTAAGGTTGAAATTTATTTGGGAGCAAAACAAAAAAAAAAGGTAGAATTTTATATTTTGCTCTTTTAAAAGATATTAATTACCTTTATCATTATTATTATTATTATTATTATTATAATTAACCTAATGTTTTGAGTATAAAAAAAAATAATTAAAAATGCTTTATAACCAATTATTAAAAAAAATAAAAATATTATACTCAAATTTAATTAAAAAAAAAAAAAAAAAAAGTTAGTAAAAATAATTTATATAAATTATTATTATGAAAAAAAGAAATTATTATTATTTTTTGTTATTATTTTAAAAAAGGAATTAATAAAATAAATATATTTATATATATATATAATTTTAAAGAATCAAAGGTTGCTAATTATTTTAATTTTTTTGCGGAAATTTTTTTTAAAAGGGGAAAAAGGTTAAGGGTTAAAAGTCATAAATTTTTTTATGTATCAAATGATATTTTACAAAATTTTAAATTTTATTTAAAGAGAGAGGGAGAGGGGGGGGGGGGAAATATCAATGATGTTGATGATAATTAAAAAAATTACATGGTTACAGCAATAATTTTTTTTTTTTTTTTTTAAATTAAATCCCATAAAATTAGAAAGAAATTAAGCAATATGATAAAAATTTACTTTTTGTGCAGTAAATTTAAAAAAATAATAATAATAATAATTAAATAATTTTTTGTTTTTTTTTTAAATAACCTGAAAATATTATTATTAATTTAAAAGAAAAGCAACCCTTGATTCTTAAATAATCTAGTATTTATAGATAGTATAATATTAATAATTATTATTTAATAGTATTCTATTAAATTAATTAATTAATTAACAAATAATAGGCAATTTATATATAATTAATTAAATAAAAAAAAATTTGCAATGAAACTAAATAAAACATCTTTTAAATGTTGTTTAATAACACACACACACACACACACACACGTGTATCTATCAAACTTATCACGTGTGTTATGATTATGATGAGATGTTTTATATTAAAAAAAAACGAGTTTGTTGAGTACGTGTACTCAACACACAACAAATAATTATTTATTTAACGTATACATATATTTATTAATTAATAATTTTGTGTGTTAAATTAACAACAACAAACAAACAAACGGACAACAAACAATAATAATTAAACATTTTGAATTTTCTTTTTTTTTTTTTTAGATAAAATAATTTTTTGAAAAAATATTTTTTTTTTATTACAATGAAAATTTTAATATTTATTTAAAACAATTTATTGTTAATAGAAAATAATATATATATTTAAAAAATATTATTATTATTATTATTATTATTATTATTATTATATTTGTTAGGTTCAATTATACGTTTGTTTTTGATTATTATTATTATTATTATTATTATTTTTTTTAGGACTCAAATTATTAAGTGAAAAAAAAATAAGAGAGAAAGAGATAGAAAATCTAATAACAATAATAATAATTTTTTTTTTTATTAATAATGTTTTGTAATAATTTATTAATTCGATTGTGAAAGAAATAAATAATAATAATAATAATAATAATAATAATAAAACAATTAAGCGAATACGTGTTTAAATATTTAAAAAAATTATAAAAGAATTTATTTATTTATTTATGAATTTGCAACTTTGCGTCATCAATTTTATTAATAAATTGTTTAACGCAATAAATAAAAAAGATGATAATAATAATAATAATTTGAGTTATTGAATTATATAAAAAAAATTAATTATTTTATACGAATGTTTGTTATGTATTATGATTTTTTATGAAAAAATTAAAAAAATTTGAAAAAAGCGGATTTTTATTTACGAAAAGAAAAACAATAAATAAATACATAAATAAACAAATAAATAAATAAAAAGTTTTTCTAAATGCTCGCCCGTGTAATAATAATAATAATAAGTAGGGAATTTAATTATTTAAATAAATAAATAAATAAAAAGAAATTTTGTTCACCGGCTGTGATAGTACGATTTAACTTATTTTTAATTAATAGTTTATTAACTGAAATTTAATTATATATAAATACATAAATATACATAAATATTATTATTATTTGATGAAAAAAAAGTTAATAATGATAAAATTATTATTATTATTATTATCATTATTTTTTTCGGTTGGCCTTTTTTTTTTTTTTTTTTTTTTTTTTTTTTATTAACTAAAGAAAAAAAGGGAAATTTATTATTATTATTATTTTTTTTCCGTTTGGTTTTGTATTAATAATGTGTAATTTTTTTTTTTAATATGATAATAATAATAATAATATACAATTTGTTATTTTTTTTTTAGTATAAATTAATAATAGGAGGGGTATTTAAAAAAATATTAAATTTTATTATAATATCAATCTATATAAAATGACTATTAATATTATATATCAATATTAATATATATATATATATATATATATATATATATATTATATATTATCTATCAAAATTATTTCGAATTATATAAAATTTAACGATAATAATAATAATAGGAGAGAGAGAGAAAAAAACCCCCCCTTGAAAAAAAAAAATGTCCCCCCCTTTAGTAATTAATAAAAATATTATTAAAATAAATAAATAAATAAATTACTATGCGTGTGTGCACACTTAATATACATATATTTAAATATATACGTAAAATTAAAAATATAATAATAATAATGATAATAATAAATATATATGATAATGTTTTACGTGTATAATTGGTATGTAGAAGAAGTGTATAACATGTTTTATTTATTTATTAATTACGCATTATAAAAAAAAATTATTAATAATAATATTAATAATATTAACAAAATTTTAATGCGCTGTCGGCGGCGTGCTTTGTTTAACAATAAATAAATAATAATAATAAAATATTTAATCGATGAATTAATTAAATTCATATAAATGAAAAAAATTTTTTTTTCGGTTTAAATTTTCAAATTGAAGAAAAAAAGGGGGGAACCACGTGTTTAATTTTTGGATTTTTTTTACATAATTTTTATTCTTAAAGCACCATTTATTCTTCCCGCCCCCCAACCTTCACCTTCCCCCCCACTCCAAAAAAAATAAAAATAAAAAAGTAAATTGGTTATTAATTATTATTAATTTGCAATAATTATTATTTTTTTTTCTCGGTTATCGTTTCATTATTATTATTATTATTATTTAATAAACAATTTATTATTATTATTATTATTATTATTTTTCAAAATTTTCGGCTGATTGTTTTTATTTACAAAAAAAAAAAAAAAAATTAAAATTAATTAAAATAAATTTTTATTTATTTTATAAGCATAAATTATGTTAATTAAATAATTTCAAATATAATTTTTGAATTTTTTTTTGTCTTCAATAATTATTATTATTTTTTCAATTGATTTCTTATCAAATTTTTATTTCCTATTTATTTTTAATCAATCAATCAATCAATCACTGGATAAAAAAAAAAATAATTTTTTTATATAAAATGTCTGATTTGTGAACGTTTTTAGTTTGAAGATAATTCAATGTATTTACGACAAAAATATATTTACAATGTTTTTTAAAAAAATATTACATAAATATTATTAGACGTTAGTTAGTGCGCGGCACTTTTAACGTTTGCCTACACCACGATAATAATGATAAAAAAAATTACGTAATTTACTATAGTAATTTTTTTTTTACATAAATATTTTAAATGGAGCGTTATAATATTAACCGCCACGACAGATATTTTTTTAATGTGAATAAATTTACACATCATAACGGGGATAAAAAAAATTAATCCTCGGATTAAAACATGTTTGGATTAACAATAATCTCTTCATCATAACGAAGAAAATGAAATATTTTCAATTGTGAAAAGTACTATTATTATTATTATTAATATAATCCCTTTCCTATTCTTTATCTGATGATTCTGAATTAAATGATTCTTCCCTTAAACCATCTTCATTTGAATTTTTATCCAATGCTTTGGGTATTGTTTTTGCACTATGCCTTACTGTATACTATAAAATAATATATTTTTGAGTATATAATATAATATATGAATGAATGAATGAATAAATAAAATATAATTTGTACTTTTAAATATTTTTGACATGCTTCTGGTCTGTGACGATCCAAATATCTTTCTTGACTGAATGCTTTGTTACACGATGCGCACCGCCACTCCCATTTATGGTGACCTCTCGTTCTCTGATGAGCTCTCATGTTTGACCTTTGAACAAAAAATGAATAATTTTTTTTTATTAGTCATAATAATAATAATAATAAGAAAAAAGGAAGACAAAACAAAACATGAAAATTTTTATTACGAAAAGGTAGGGGGGGGGATAATTTTTAACCGAATAATTTTTTGATCTCACCCTCTCTCTCTCACCCCTACTTTGCAGTAATAATAATAATAATATTATCGTTTTAGTAGTATATCATTCGTGTCATTTTTTACCTGTCGGCAAACGTTTTCCCGCAATTATTTTCCGGGCAAACAAATGGTTTTTCTCCGCTATGTAACCTTTTATGACCTTTTAAAACCCAATGTCTATCGAATTTTTTTTGACAAATTTCACATTCGTGAATGAGTTTTTTACTCTTTCTTTCTTCATTTTTTAAATCGAATAAAGTATCCGCGAGTAAATCCATTTTTTCTTTTTCCGATAAATCCGATAGATTATTTTTAATGAAAACAAAATCTAAATCTTTCATATTTTCTTCTGATTGATAATTTTCTTCGAAAATATGTTCCATTTGATCGTCTAACATAGCTTCGAGATTAATGTTTTCCGATAAGTGTAAAAGAATATCAGTTTTTAAATTTTCTATGTCGGAAAGTTGTTTGTCCGGATTGGGTTTTCTCAATATGTTAGGACGGAAAAAACTTTCACCGGAATCGTTAAATAATTTTTTTTCAATTATTTGACTAGATGATGATGATGATGACGGATTTTCATCAAGTTTAACATTATCATTTTTAGGTTTTAAACATGGATTGCTATTACAATCCGATTTTGATTTTTCCGGTGAATCTTTTTTCATTTTATTTTGTTCTTCTGATTTTAACGTTTCCGGTGAATTTTCCTGTTTTATGATTTCTTCTTCTTCTCCTCCTCCTCCGTTATTTTTTTTAGTTATCATTTCCGTTTTATTTTCTTTTTCTTTTTTACCATCCCATTCTTGTTCGGTTTTTTTTTCAATCGGTTGTTTTTCCTCTTCCGATGGAGGTTTAATTATTTCCTTTTCTACAACTTTTCTTTCGCATAAATCGTTTTGATTTTCGTGTATTTTAAATATTTTCCTTTTTTCGACAGGACCGTCAAAATGTGATTCTACTGCTTCTATATTGATGACGTAACTTCGACTCAGACATAATCCATCCCGAAGTTGATGAAGAGCTTTTTGTATAGCATCGGAAAAAGACGGTACGAGTGAATGAAATTTTTTAATTTTTTCTTCTGGATAATATTCCGGGAATTTAATGACGATGCATTCATCATTTACTGGAATCAATGTTGTTTTTTTCAACGTCATCGTCGTCCTTATGTTGGGTTTTTTTTCTATTGAAGCTGTAGCTGGAGATTCGAGCATCGTCTCTCCTTCGTTTTGATTTTCTTCTTTTTTAGTTTCCAAACTTTCTTTTTTATTCGAAACTTCTTCGGATTCTTCTTTTTTACATTCCTTATTTAAATCATTGGTATCATTTGAGTGAACGTTTAATTTGTCATTATTCGATTGTTCAGAATTATTTTCTCCAAATGCAGGTTCATCAGACTCGGCATCAACTTGCATTGGAAACACATTGTTTTTTTTGACTTCTTTCGGATCGACATAATCTTCTTTTGGATTTTTAAATTTTAAATTTTCATTTATCATTTTTTCCGAACTAACTATCGATTCTAATATGAGTTTAGTTTTTTTTTCATCAACCATTTTCGGTTTTTTTTTACTCGTGATATTTTTAATTTTCCTTTTAGCAATTTTAAATGATTTTAAATCCGCTGCCAAAAATTCAGGTTCGTCTTCTGATTTGGATTCCTCATCTCTCGGATTATTATTATCCGTTTTGTAAAATTTTAACGTTCTGTTTTTTTTAAATTCTTCGCTTTTTTTAAAACACTTTTCTCTTTGCATTTGTTTTCGAAAATTAAAATTATAAGTCTTATTTTTCGGTCTCAAATTATATGATGATGTAATTGAACTTTTTAGTTTTTTCCTAGCATTTTTTTTCCTTCTGTAAAGCTTCATAGCATCTAGTTTGGTACTATCCAATTTCATAGAATTATCCCTTGATATTTCATGACATCCCGGGAATGATTCAATTTCTGACATTATTTTTAACCAAGGAGGATAGGATATTAGGATACAGGATCTAAAAAAAAAACACAAAAAAAAATTATTAAAGAAATAAAGTGTGGAAAAACAGTGGCAAAATCCTTACACAACTTTTACAAGTAAAATAAAATTTACAAAAATATAAAAAGTAAATAATAAAAAATGTTTTTGATTTTTTTCTTTTTCCATGTCAAACAATTGTTTGAAATTCTTACCTATTAAAATTTTCTAATAATAATAATAATCAGTGAATGATTTTATCTTATTTATTTTGTCACAAATTTCAAAATCATCTCTCTTTCTCTATAATAAACTTAAACATTAAATAATTAAACATTTTAAACTTCTATGGAAAAAAAAAGGCAGTTGTTTTTAAAATCATCAATTATATTCAACACTTAATGTTGGTATTATTTATTATTATTATTATTATTATTATAAATTCACTTTTTGGTTATTGAATAATAACAATTTTTTTGTACTATGATTTAAAATAATAATAATAATAATAATACTTCCTTTGTTAATATTCATTTATCCACATAAAATGAAAATATAAAAGTTTCAAATTGTATAAATATATGTATAAATCAAAAACTATATAGTTTACCTTAAAACTGTGTAAAAAACTTAATTTAATTCTTGAGTAAAATATTGTAATTGGATTCATGGTAAATGTTTTTTTATGGTTGAAGTTGAATTATTTGTTTAATAAAACAATTAAAAACCAGATGAATATAGAACGAATTTAAAATAAACATAAACTTGCACAATGTTAACATTTAAAGTGAGTAAGTAGATATAACTGAAATAACGTTTATATATTTATAAAAAAAAGAAATTAATTAATTAATTAATTCATATACCTAATAAATTATTTTATTTCCCTTAAATATATTTTAAAACCTTAATAATAAAATTATTGTTATTTCATTTTTTTTTTAAAAAAATTTATTGCATAAAAATAAATGTAATATTTATAGTCGCTCAACTGTTTAAAAAAAAAAAAAAAAAAAAAAAACTAGTTACCAGATAATTTTTTTTTTTTTATTAAAAAAAGGCTGTGGTGTCGTTTTTAATTGTTGATTTTAATAACGATAAAATAGTATTGTAGAAATTTCTAGAAAAATTCAAATAATTCGTAGAAACGAAGATAAAAAAAAAAAAAAAATGTATTTTTATCTAATACAAAAAAAGATAATAAAATAATCCACAATAATTTACCATGTTCAGGTGCATTCCGTTAAAAAAAGATTCTCTTACACTCGATAATTAAAATGCTACACAAGCATTTTCATTTATTATGTAAAAAAAAAAAAAAAAAAAAAAAAGACGCAGCAAAAAAAAAAAAAAATGAAAAACGGTTTTTTTTTTTTTCATTTTGACGTGTCGTTAATTTAGCGCGACGAATTTTTTTTTTCATTTTAGCGACACGTCAAAATGCAAAGTTTCAATTTTTTTATCGTTCGGTGCATTTTTTAATTTTATAAATTTTATTTTATTAAAGAAAAAAAGTCGGTTTTAATAATAATATAATTGTTTTCGTGTAGTAAGGCATGTGAAAATACAAATTTTCAAATTATCGTTATAATTAAAGTTAATAATTAATAAAAAATGTTTAATAAATTAAATAGTGATTTCCAATGTGTCATGGAGAAGGATTTGAGCCGACATTTTGGTGAATCAGTTTATAAATTTATCTTTTTTATTTCACGATTTTCAATTAGTTTTTTGAATTTATTCAAATCAAATTTGAAAATGTGTAAGTTTTGTTCGGTTTAATAAATAGTTTTTTTTAATGTGTTCGACATAAAAATGTAATTTCATCAACTAAATGAACCTTAATGGAGGAAATGTATTATGCATGATGTAACCGTAAGTAAGTAAAAAGAAATTTTAACGTTGGGCTAATTTTATTTAAGTGAGAAAATAAGTTAAGGGGGTACTAAAAAAAAAAAAAATTTACGACTTAATAAATTTAATGAAAACTTGTCGTTGTTACTAAAACTCATAGTATTAACCCAAAAGTTAAAAAAATTTTATGGCGTTTTTTAAGGAGTAACAAAATGAAAAATGCTGATACCCATACATTTTTTTATTTCACAAATAAAATCCACCAGTTTTCATTTATATATATATTTATTTTTATATTAGAGGAAAAGATTTAACTAAGATATTATTCAAATGTCAATTAAAATTCACGTGGATATCACGTTCTTATTTTTTTCATTATGTAAATTTAATGCTGATATAAATACATGTAATTTTAATGCAAACACATTTTTTTTTTTTTACTAATTAATAGTTTTTTTTTTTTTTTTTTTTATTTTACTTTCTTTATTATTATTATTATTATTAGTTCGATGTAAAAAAATTATTAACTCCATTTCAATAAATATAACACTAAATGATTTTTCAAATTTTGTTGAAATTTTATATATATTGGGATCTACATATTCATTAATAAAAATTAATTTATTTAATATTAATAATGATTATTCCCCCGAACGTAAAATTTTATATTATTATTATTAATAATGTATTAAATTATTACATATAAACAAGGGAATAGTTTTTAGTTCGGGTTGGGATATAAAAAAAAAAAAAAATTAATTTGAATGGATTTTGTTTTATATAGTAAATATATATGTTACTGTTGCACATCAGGTAAAAACGTAATAAAGGCGGTGAATATAAAAAAAAGAAAAAAAATTTTTTATCATAGAAGGTTGTGATATTTAACAAGTATTTAGGCAACATAAAAGCAAAACATAGGCGAAAATATATTTATTTATATTTAAATTCTTTTTCGAACACGTTCTAGAACGATGATGATTTTCTGTTGAACGGGTTGCCAGTTAAAAATCGGTCCTTCGGGTCTTTATAATTATTTTTTTATTTATTTATTTATTTATATTTTTATACATATATATATATTTATTTATTAAATGTATATTCGGGGTTCGACAAATGGACATATTTTTAATTTTTTTTTTATATAAATAAGTTTTTTATTAAAAATGTCATATTAAAAAAATAATAAAACGGGAATTTTAAAGTTTGTACATGTAAATAAATATTTTTTAAAAAAAATTTTAATTTATTTTTTATGTATTATTAATATTATTAATTTAAAATGTGTTAAATAAAGTGTAAATAAGACCCGTAAGAAGGAAATCCGATTTTATAAATATATACATACATACATACATACATACTGGAATTATTTATTTATTTATTTTTGGAATAATTATTAAGGTAAAATTTAAATTATAATTTATTTATTAAAGATTATTTATTGATTTTTTTCGAATGGCGAAAAATTGTTTTATTTATGTTTTCGTTTAAAAAATTTAAAAATAGATTTTTTAATAACCTATAAAGTTCATTTACGTATATATTTTATTTGTTATTTTGATTTTATTGATAACTTTAATGTATTTAAAAGAAAATTCTTTTGATTTTCTTGTGGAAAATTTTCTTAAAATTTTCTCAATGTTTTCAATTAATTAATAACGGAAACGAATAGTTTGTATTTTTTTTATTAACGTAAATTAAATTTAAATTTGTTTTTAACAAGGTTAAACTTGAATTTTCACGTTTTATGATAACAAAAAGGGATAACAAAATTTATTTAAATAATGCGTTATTAAAAATGATAATGAAAAATCGGAAAATTTTCCTTATTACTCGCTTTTCACAAAAAAAAAAAAAAAAATTTGTTTTTTAATAATAATCTTGAGAAACATATATTTAATAATGTAATCCGTTAGATTTACCTATTTTTTTTTTCTTTTATGGGTTAAGGAAAAACCCTGTTAGGCCCTTGATATTATTATTATTATTATTATTGTTTTGATTAATTTAAAGGAAGTAAAAAATTAAATTTTCTTTTTTTTATTGCGCATTTAAAAGTGTCATTATCACCCTGGCGCTAATTTTTTTTTTTTTTTTAATATTATAAAGAAGGTGACGGTCATCAACTAATTTGAAATTATTTTTTATAAAAAAAAAAAAAAGTTTTTCATTAATAAATTAACTTATTTAAAAATAAGACAAACAGACGTAGGAATAAATAAAAACGAAGCTTTCTTTTTTTTTTTTTTATATATAATTCTTTTTATTATTATTATTATTATTTTAAGTTTTTAATAAATTTAAATTTACAGATTTGTAACCATCGTTTATAACTTTTTAAAAAAAAAATAATTTTGAAACTTGCTTGAGGGTTATTATTAGGTTCCAGTTTATAAAATTCCTTTTTTTTTTTTTTTAAAAGAGAAAGAGCCAGACCGAAATACCTTTAGGAGGAGGACTGGTTTTGATTTATTATATGAAATACCTTCCAAATCAAAATTTTTATCACGCATCTAGAGATTTTTGGGAGTAAAAAATATTTTTTTTAAATCCCCCCATTTATATAAATGTATGTATGTATTTTTTAAATTCAATCAAGTGTAAATATAAACAATATTTATTTGATACACATTTATTATTATTATTATTATTATTGGTCACACGGGGGGTTTTTTTAAACGAGACACGACAAAAAAGAAATTTTTTAAAATTTGTCAACGAGCGTGACGTGTGATTACGTCACACGTGACATCTTCTCGTTAGGTATAACTCTTTTTTTTCTTATTATTATTATTATTATTGAAAAAAATTTTATTTTTATTTTGTTTTGATTATTAAACGCCGGCGTTTTATTCCCGCCATCATCAATTGAACCGTGTTTATTTAACAGTTGAATGATTTATTAAATATCATCATTCATTCATTCATATGACCGCGATTTATTAAAAAAAAAAAAAAAAAAAAAAAATTTTTTCATCAAACCATTGTTTGAAGAGAACGTTTAAAATAAATATTCTTTGATACTTGTTAAGTTTTTTTTTTTTTTTTTT